TAAATAATAACTCAAAGGTAGGATTATTAAAAACGAATGGCCCAAAGGTGGGATTATTCCCATGAATTTTTCCTTTCAAATTTTCCATTTTATAATGAACAAAATTGTAAAATATGTCCAGTTAGAAAATGTTCATTTTTGGTCGCGGGACTAGCCAGCTCTGGCTAGGCGCGAGTTCAGTCAATACTAACTGATTTTTTTAAGTACAGCACAAAATCTTGACTGCATTAGAATTTCTTTAAATAGAATGCTGCCAAGCTAGCTGCATCAACCCAAAGTAGGGGTGAGCACGGATCGGATATCTGATCCGAAATTGGATTTCAGATCGGATATCCGTATCCAAAAAATCAGATATTTGATATCCGTATCCGATCCGAAATTTTCGGATATCAGGATATCCGAAATTTTCGGATCGGATAGTTCGGATATCCAATATCCTACCCATCTAATAATATGGGTTTTTTTTACACTTTAACAATTTTAAAAAAATATATACATAAATCAAACCTTACAACTTGCTGCTATTCAAAGTATCAATCATACACCATATTCTTATCCAGTAAACCCCCAAAATTGAAGAAACTGACTGGAGAAGAGGGGATTCAACAACCAAAATAAAAAAGGAAAAAAAAAAAAAGGTTTCAAATCAAACCCATTGAAATTCAAACCATTAGTCAGATACGAAATTTTCATTAATAAGCATAATTATAAAAATCAGATTCTTAACCAATTCTAACAACAAAAATTGACGATTTAAACTAACAAAAAAATGAGGGAATAGACGAGAATTATTAGACATTGGCATGAAATTAAAGCGATGATGAAAAGTTTCATTGATGGTAGAATAGATTAGGACAATGAGCCAAATCCTTATCCTGGAACAATGCAGCGACCACCATTGTTGGAGCTCGAGATGAGATTGAGAAAAGGATGGGAGATCTGAGAAGTCATCATGAACAACTTGCCATTTTCAGAGGAGAGAGAAAGCTCAGAAATTGCCGATAATGGCGGCCTACAAAGCAGAAGACGAAGAGGGAGATGAGGAGATCTGAGATGAGAGAGGAGGGAGAAGGGAGATCTGAGATGAGAAATCCAGAGAGGAGGGAGGAGGGAGAAAATAGAGGAGAAAGAGAAAGAGGCGCATTACATTAGGGACTTAGGGTTATCCGAATTTCGGAATTTTTGTAAAATAATTTTTTTTTTTTGGTAAAAAAAGTGTTTTTTTCGGATATTCGGATACCCGAAATTGAAATTTCGATCCGATATCCGAAATTTTCGGATCGGATATCCGATCCGAAATTGTTTTCGGATCGGTTATCCTAAATTTTCGGATCGGATACGGATCGAAATTTCGGATTTTTGAATTATCAGATAGTTTTGCTCAGCCCTGCCCAAAACGCAGCTAATATTAAATGAAACGCAACAATAGTATTCTTTCCTTAAATTTTTTTTTTTTTTTTTTTATGATTCTCTTTCTTCACTTTTATAATAATAATTTTGATCTCAATTTTCTCTCTCCTCTATTCCTCTTTCATTGGATATTTTCTCTCTCCTCTTTCTTTTCTTTCATTTGACATTTTCTCTCTCCTCTGTTCTTTGCATCATTAATCATAATGAGATCATCAATGAAGGTTAGTTTTTGTGTTGTTTATAATTAGGTTAGATTTTATCTGAGTTTGTAATTGTTTCTGAATTTATAATTTGATCAATTTGATGAGTTTCAATTTACTCTGGTCTTGATAAATTAAGTTTCTGATTTTATAATTTTGATTCATTGGTATTCTGATTTTGATGTGAATATATATTAATTGAATTGGTTGATTATTTGTGGTCATTTTTACTCTCCTCTCTCTCTCTCTCTCTCTCTCTCTCTCTCTCTCTCTCTCTCTCTTTTTGGTAGTCTTTAGATTCTCAATCACATTATCAATCAATAATTATTTTCTTTACAATATATTAATAATTATTTTCTCTATGATCAATTAAGATTAATTAGATTATATTCAATTTTTTTGAGTTTGAATAATTACAATCGAACTTGAATATAATTTCTGTAAAAAAAGAAATGAACACGTAGTAATTTTAAAATGAAAATTTAGTACAAAATGAACATATAGTTCACCGAAAATGAACATTTTGTACATAAACAATGAACATATTTCAACAATTTATTTTATCTTTATTTTTTGTTAATAATTATATACAATGAATTTGAACCTATATGAAAATCATGTTTATTTTTAATATCCTAAATGTTCAAACTTTTTTTGACATGTTCATTTTCTTACGTGTTCATTTTTTTATACTAAATAATCATTTTTTTTAAAGTGTTCATAACTTGAAATATTCTTTTTATTAGGTTGAAAGTTGAATTATTTGAACATTATTGTTGAAAATCTGAGCAATTTATATATTTATTATGAACATATATGTTTCGTTATTTATTACAAACATATCTTTAATTGATTATGAACACATACATATGACATATAGAGTGATTATTTATATTTTTAACTATTGTATGATGATTATATATTTATGAGCATTCTAAACAATTATTATGAACATATGTTGTGATGATTATGAAAATTCTGATTATTTGTTATATCTTAGTGCGTACAGATCAATTGTATTTGTGGAAGGCAAATAATCTGAATTATTAAAGAAACAAGTAAGAAGTGATGAAGAAGCATATGATATGTACAATGATTATGGCTTTAAGTTTGGTTTTTGTATAAGGAAATGTACAATGATTATGGCTTTGAGTTTGGTTTTTGTATAAGGAATTAAGGGGAAAGTACGAAGAGTTGGTCAGACTAATGTTTTGTAAATTTTTTTTTTTTATTGTATTTTATTGTTGGCGAAATAGAGGGAATGAATGGTCTGTTGTTGGTGGATCTCAATAATGTCTGACAAGACAATTAATTTACAGTTTATAATTGATTATATTTTCATTTAGCAAAAAATTGTACAAGTATACATTATATATTATGAATTTCCATATTATAATTCATTTACATTTTAATATTTATGTTTTTATTTACATTTTTAAGATTTCAACATATATACTATGAAAATGAACAAGTAATATATGAAGATAATAGACGAGAAAGATGAAAAACTAGTAAGATATACCCAATGCAAATATATTAAGGTAACCATTTGCAAACCACACTTGTCCTACTTCAATCCCAAATTTATATATATTTTAAGAAAAAATTAAACCACGCTTGTTTTGCAAAGTAATTAATATTTCAATTGCAACATGTATAAAGTCAATCTCGATCATTCCTTCTGCTTGTAGCCATCTTTACTCTACGTCATTCTCTGATTGTGTTACTTAGTATAATATCTTGTAGCCATCTCTACTCTATGTCATTCTTTGTTTGTGTTACTTTGTATGATTTTAGCACAAAATTCAACCTTAGCTTCCAATTTTGATTAGCCTGAAAACAAAATTTAAACAAATGAATAAATTATTGGAACATATAAGTTTCAAAAATGAACACACATTTATAAATGAATATTTAAAATTAAAAAAACTTACATCATTAGCTTTTAAGTCACAAACCCACTCTTGTAAAGATTATGAAGTGTATGTTTCCATATGCTTCATCAAATAACCACCATAATTTTTATGAGCTATAGGTAATTAATTAAAAGATTATGAACATAAAGGTAAATAAGTATGAACATAAAGTTTAGTGATTATGCACATCAAGTATACAGATAATGAGTCTATATGCGTTAAAAAAATGAACATACAAGCCTTAAATTTTGAACATACTTGTAAAAAATATGAGCACAGGATGTTATAAAAAATGAATAATACGCATTAAAAAATGAATAGACTTGATACTTTTTATTATACTTAATAATATGAAACTTTAAGATAAAAAGAATGAATTAAAGGAATTTCAAAGATTATGAACATAACAAAAATGTAAATCAACAATGTAACAATAAAGTTAAAATTTTAATTTTGTAACATCAACAATGAAACAATAATTATTTATACTTTCATTTCATCTTGATTTTTTAGTAGTTGTTGAAGTTTATTTTATTTATTTTTTATTTTCTACAAAATAAATAAAAAAGTGAAATGTGTGCCTCATGAATACAATCACAAAAATCATACAAATTAATTCGACTACTTGTTATTGAAACTAATCTAAACAATTTTTGTATAAGTTCATCTTCTTTGAGATAGATTTCATTTATGAATTTTCAAGAAATTTCAATAAAAACAAAGTATATATCCAACAATTCAAACAAAAGTAAGTAATATACACATAAACTTACCTTTTATTGGGAGAATTAGTTTGATTTTTCAATTTTTCTCGAACATCCATGGTGATTTTTCAGATTTTAAGTGAGAGAAAATCATAGAGAGGAGAGAGAATCAATTGTGTTTGAGTGTAGAATAATTTTCAGAAGTTTGTGACTTTTTTTTAAAAAAATATTAATATGCCGCTGAACAAAGATTGTTTGTGGGGTGGGCTGCATTTTATTTGGGTGAAATATTCGTGGGCTGTGTTGGACGCGAATATTGGGCATGTTGCATATATCTTAGCTATATAAGGATGTAGCTAAGACCAATTGGTTTTAATTTATGACTCGAATTTTTGTAACTATATTTGTTATTCATTTTATCATTCACTACATATTATGATATTAATACCTAAAACAAGGAGAAAATAAATATGTTATGATTAATTTTTATCCTAAAGGTTTTTAGAAATTTTTAATTTTTAATTAAATATAGTGTTAAGTCATTTCATCATTGTCAATTATTTATTAATCAATTCTTAAAGAGGTTTTTTTTTTTTAAATTAATTTTTTATTTTATTATTTTATTATAAATAGTAAAAATAATCCATTAATAAAACATTATATGACATTAGTTGATTTTTAATATTATTTTTTCTTAATTAGAAACTAATAAAGCTTAGTTAAGCCATTTAAATGGGCAATTGATTTTTAATATTTAATTAATTTGTATATTCAAGAAACCAAAGGTTGGATTCACAAAAAAATGTCAATACAAAGTCATACGACATTAAGGAAAAAAAGAGAGGTTTCTTTAAAAAAACAAAAGAAAAAAAGTATAGGATGTTGGCTCCCCACAAGCATCTTATGATATTTAAATGATTTAATGATCGATTTATGTTTACGTATTAAACTAATTCATCAATAAAATCATTAAAGCCATTACTCAAAATCAATAAAAGACTGTCAGATACGCCAACAAAATTTAAAGTATTGTAACAAAAGACGATGAGGGTTGGATCTTGGATGGACAATCAAACATTAGGAGTTTCCTTGAGATGTTGGGGAAGAGCAGTCTTTCAGACCATAATCTACATACAGAGGTATGCCGTAACCATGGTTGCGAGAGGGACTGATATATTATCATCAATTTGCTCTGCTGTTGGAAGCGATTCAACAACTGTTGCTACGAAAGAAACTACTGCAACCCTTTGGGCTGTGAGATTCCAATCAAACTGGAAGTAACCCAGGACTGAAAAGTAGTAAAGCATCCTGAGGCATCCACAACAGATAGCTATGCATCAAATCACTGGGGTCAAATACAAACTCACTCTGGCACATTACAGATTAATTTCAATTAATTTGAATCGTCAAGAAAGAAAGAGCAATTTTACCCCATAGATATCAAGAAACCAAAGGTAAACATTGAAATGCTACCGGCCCAACTTTTTTTCTGGTTATAAGGTAACTTCACATAACCGAATTTTCTTCCCATGATATCAGCAATTCCTGTGGCTTCCACAGTCAATAGAGAAACTTTTGCATGGAAAAAAACGAAGCTGGAAGGTAAACTAAGTAAAACAAAATATCAGCTTATCTATAAGGAAATTTGAGGACTATACCATCACCGCCAGACATCATTGCCAATAACAACAGGCCAACTGGAGAATCACGCCAGAAGAAAATGGCAGATAAAGCTAGAATCAGAACATAGTATAACGGACCTCGTAGCAATTCCCTGCAATTTCAAGAAATAGGAAAATGTCACAGACACGGAATAGAGAGTGATCAAAGAATTTTTTCTTAAAAGGATTTGAGAAAATTACTCAGGTTTGCCTTCTCGAGTAACAGATTTGAGGAGGCCTTCATCTGTTGCAAGTGAGAGTCCATTGACCACAAGTCTCAAACCATTTATAAATGGAGCAAGAGACGCAAAATACCGAGCTTCTGGTGAGGCGCTATTCTAGAGTCACATTGATGAGTTTAAATTTTTTTTATAAAAAAAAGAAAGCTCAATTTCCTAGATAAAGATGAAGAAGAAGTACCTGAAAAGAGGCCAGGCAGCCACAAAAAGCAACCCAGAAATTATATGGACAAGCTTTCTGCTCAAATTCTGCTCCATAGACAAGGAACTAATTTAAGAATCAAATTGCCTTTGTGTTTTTTCCTAAAAAAATAAGCAAATCAATGTATTTGAATTTTGGCACCTACTTATTGTATGCATAGGACTAGCTCGCCATCAAATACCTAATTAAAGACCCTTGGCAAGTGCAAGAGGCATGCCTCCCACAAACAAAACACAATTAAAGCTCAGCTTTAGGTTAAAAGACTTACAAGGTAACTCACAAGACTTCCAATTAATTGCACATTTAATAGATAACTTGGCCTACCATGTTCCAGAAAGGAAAGACCACCAGCAGCCAAAGGGATGTCAAAGCTATTAAGTTAACACATTGATAACTTCAAGCTCAGTTTACATCAACAAATTGACCAAATTATCATCAACCTTGTCTTGTGGGGCTATGAGAATGACAGACACAAAGGGAGAAAGATGAAGAAATAATAGAGGCCAGGGTGAGATGGAATTGAATATCTTGTAACTCCAGAGGAAAATTAATGGCACTTGAATCATCTGAACCATATAAAGTACGGTAAGTCTATAACACATCCATGATCTACATTGACAAATATCTTTAATATAGGCACTAGAAATTAAGTACCATCAATCTGTCTTAGACCTACAGAATTTCGCCTCTCCTACACAGTTCCCGTACCATGGAGTAGGAACCTTGAGACGAACAACAAAATAAAGGTATCAACAGAATAGGGTTTTGAATAACTGGTAGCGAGACTATAGTTAATAAGACACAAATGTTGTTATTCTTGTAAACGTCGGTTATTATCACATCCATCGAAGACACATCAATTTTTTTTCCCCAAATCTTTCGAAATCCATCAAGACACAAAACCATCCTAATTTAAGAAAGAACTAACCAAATTATTCCTGGAGTATCCACAATCACATAGTTATTGAGAAAATTTTCACTTTAGCTGATGGCTAGCCTGCAAATCGTGTAAAATTATAATAGCCGCAGTGCCTTATATTATGCAGAAGGGCAGAGAACCAAGATGATTTTATCAGAACATTTTCCTTTAATGGAATTTCTGAAAAGTAAAAAGTCTAGTATAGTAGTATCTTTAAAAGGACTACAATACTGCAAGAACGATCAATGGAACTTAAAAGATTTTAACAAAAAGTTCCAGCATGAATTTATAAGGATGCTTGTCAAGGAAATTTTCTCCAATACATTACAATTATGCCATCATACACATTTTTTCGACGCTTTATATTTGAAGAATGCGTGCCTAATATAGGCTAGGGAGTCATAGTTGTATGATTACAGATTTACAGGCAGTTGATTCCATTAGACCCTTGATCCAAATTGAAATATTATTACCCAAAGATAACCAAACATTAATGAAAAAAACCAAGTAAAAGTGCAAAAATTTACGAATTCCTCTTTTTTTTCTTGTATGTAACCAAAGCAACTAACGGAAAACTACTAGTATGTAAATTTTATCACTTCTCAAGAGCTTTGCTCTGCTCATTAATCAACCAAACAAAAACACAAATAACACCCACTAAATATAAAATCATAATTATTCAAAAAAAAAAAAAAAAATTCCTAGTTTGAATGTTCTGCACGTCTCTGATTTCTGAGCCAATATAACATACAACCCTCATTACAGAAGAATCCAAGCCAAAACCCCAGCTTAAAATTGTAAATTAAAGCAATTAACTTGATTTTTTTTTTTTTAAAAAAAAAAAAAAAAAAAAAAAAACCTGAGAGATGATGTTGCGGTGAGTGAGATTATCAAAGACAGAAACAAGAGAGTAACCACCAGTGACTAAAAAAGCAGTAGCGCCGACATCCTGGAAAAGCGCAGCATCAGAAGAGAGTAACGCGCGCCTGGAAACTACTGTTGATGCTGCGGAATTGTGCTTGAGTGTAGTTTCAGAGAAGGGGTAATGATGACGATGGAAATGGAAGAATGTGAGGTTAGAGTACGAAGGACACGGTTGAGCCGTGCCGAAAGACCGTGAACAATGGTGGTGGGTGTTTAGTTTCAGATGTATCGCCATTGATGCGCCTGGAGTAGTAATGGAGGTCTTTGCTGTTTTTCCCAATTATTGAATTGTGTTGTATGTTTGGTTAATATGTATTCCCCTCAGTCCCCTGTTTTATATTAAATAAAACACTATTCATTTTCGATCGTTTCATAATAATTATCACATTACTATATTTGATAAGGACGTATCATAATTTTATAATCGTTTGTGTACACCCGATGTACAATATAGTTACATCGAGGGCCGACACGTGCCAGTTGCCTAGCTTCAATTCATGCTTTTGGAAAATCTGCCAAAGAAAAATAAATAATGAAAAAAAAAACCCACAATTTTCTTCTCCTCTCACTTCAACAAAATCAGAAAAAATTGGGAGCAAATTCATCCTCTTATCATTCGAAATTGTTGCTGCTGCAATATGTATCGAAATATAGAACCCTAATTTTTGAATTTATTTACATCGTCAAATTGAAGAAACAGGGGCTTCATAAAATTGGAGAACGAAAGTCGGAAAGTGCTAATTACCGATCGATAATTAATAACAGTCCATATATTCTACCAATTTATAACTCAATTTTTTTATATTTTTATGCGAATATACAAAAAAGGATGATCTTATTTTTGTTGTGAACAATGGTGGTGGGTGTTTAGTTTCAGATGTATCGCCATTGTTGTGCCTGTAGTAGTAATGGAGGTGTTTGGGTTCCATTCACTCCAATTGGCCGCTCCACAAATGATTCAATTACAAAAGCCCGAAATAAGGTTCAACTCTCCAAGCATATGTTAAGTAAGTCAAAGGTCTGGTCAAGTGGCAAGCCCATTTGATCTCAAGGCCATTTAACTATTGGAGCAACGTATAAAAACTTTCATTCTTCTCTCTCTAAAGATATTCACTTCAAGGCTCAAGCAATTAATACTCTTGCATAATTTTCTCTCTCGAAGCACTATACTGACTTCGGCATTGGAGGGGTCTTCCTTGGCACAACCCCCGAGACCAATTTACGTGTATTTACTGTGCAGGAAACCCTCGTCCCAGTCATCACTTGGGCCGAGTACAGTCTTCAGCCCACAAGAAAGGTCTAGACGAAGGACCTATTGTTTTCACTCCGAAACAATTTGGCACCGTCTATGGGGAAGACATTAAAAAAAAAAGCCAAAAATCGATCATCTTAGCATCATGACTAAGAGCGGAAAGAGTGCAAGAGCACTAAAAAGAATGGTCCTTCTTCCTCGAAGAAAGGTCCACCTTCTTCGTCATCTTCTTCAAGAGCGGCTTCTTCTGAGAAAGCCGCATCCGAGAGGTCACCTTCTCGTCGCACTGAGCAGTCGTCGAGCTCTCGCCGACCGAGTCAGACCAATGCTAAGAGCCCAACTCCTAGCTTACACTCACAATCTCACCCGACACCTCAAACGGGTCCCACTTTAGAGGAGGTAGCGAAAGCCGTCGTAGTCTTCATGGACCTCATAAAGGCCTAAGCAAGCAATTTTCTGCCACCTCCTAGCCAATCAGTTCACGCTGACACTCCTCATTAGCTGAAAAACCTAAGAAGGAGGACCGGCCAAGAGGACGGCGGGCGAGCTCCATCTTTCAAGGAGCTCGGAGAGAAATGGGAAGAGGATACTTGGAGAACTGAACGGGAAAGAAAGAGAAACCCCCAGTTCTTTGAGGAATCCGAGACCCAAAGTTTCAAAAGCAATAACACCACCTCCGCGTGGCAGGAACCTGCTCGCCGAAACGTTCACGAACGTATCGGCTCAAGGGAGGTGAGCGTGCATAGTCGCCTCACTTACCCCGAAGGGACTGCACCGTACCCCGCACCATCCTAGTCGAGGACAAAAACCACTTCTACTTCTCTGAGAGGGCAAAGCGAGGTCCCTTCGGTTGGGTACAAGGGGAAAGCCGTGATGGTACCCACCAGTTCACCCTTCCAGAGCTGGATTCTTGAAGAGCATGTGCCGACGGTGAAAATAGCGACGCACATAACATATGATGGAACTTTGGATCCGAAGGACCACATTGCCTCTTATGAGGGGCACATGTATCTAAACCCCAGGTCCGAAGTGACCTGGTGTAAATATTTCCCGGCCACTCTCAGGGGTGTTGCACAAGAATGGATCACCAAGGGAGTGAAGGAAGGCTCTATAACCGATTGGAAAGACCTTTCCAACAAGTTTAAGAGCAAGTTTTCTACGACAAATCGCCGAGAGAAAACGACTGTGCTAATGAGCCTGCAGCAAGGGGAGGACGAAAGCCCCCAAGACTATCTGACTCGCTTCAGCAACGAGTTGTCCAAAATTCCAAGTCTGGACCAAGGGCTAGCCGTTTTCGCATTGCGGAATAGGCTACAGGCTGGAAAGTTCCTTGACTTCATGGTCATGCACACCTCGCAGACCTTGGAGGAAGCTCTAGAAGCTTCGGATAAGTACATCCGAGCTGAAGAGTGGAACAAGACCAAGTCCCAAGCTCAGACTAGGACTGGTTAGATAAAAGGACAACTGTTCGAAGGCCAGAGCCAAAGGAAAGGGAAGGCACCTCAGAACCGTCCTTGACTACTGAGTCGAAAAAAGGGAAATGCGAATCTTACACTCCTTTCACTCTTGCACGCGCTAAAATCTATAGCATAACGAATGACGAGTAGAAGTGGAAGAAGTCGAGGCCACTGCCATCGTGCCATTAACAGAAAAATAAAGACCAATGGTGTGAGTTCCACGAGTTTCAGGACACCACACCGAGGACTGTATCCAGCTGAGAGATCAGATCGAGGATATGGTCCGAAAGGGGTATCTGAAAAAATACCTCGCGGATCGACGCAAGGAGAAAAAGGCCGAGCAAGACTCTCGACAACAACTAGATTTCCCTAGAATAAAGGACAAGTCGCAGGACAAAGATAATATTGACATCCTTGTCATTTCTAGGGGGACGAGTTCCCGAAATGCTCGAAAGCGCCACTTGAGGGGTTTAACCCATCAAGTCAACCATGCTGCCATCCAAGGTCCAAAGTCTTCGGTGCCGAACTTTACGTCCACAGCCGAAGACTGTTGGGGGGTGACTTACCCCCACGATAGCCCCCTGGTGATCATCACGGGAATTGCAAACCACAACGTCTGGCGAACCCTTGTCGATGGCGGTAGTGAAGCAAACATCCTCTTTTGAGAGGCGTATGACCAGCTGAAGTTACAGACCAAGGACCTGACTCCAGTACCTTACCCGGTATCTGAATTCAATGGGTCTGCAACATATCTAGATGGGAAGATCACCCTTCTCATCACCATCGGCAAAGACCGAGCAGCTCAGAATGTCATGGCCGAATTTCTGGTCGTGGATGTTCCATCTGTGTACAACTAGGGAGACCCATAATTCACGAAATTCAAGGAGTGGTCTCCACGTATAATCAAATGATGATATATGTTTCAGACGAGGGCTACTCTGAAAGAATCCAGGGCAGCCAGAAAGAAGCCCGCAGATGCAATTACCTCAAGCCATCTAAAAGTCGCTGCGACGACCAGGATGAGGAGGAAAAAGAAAAAGAAAAGGACTGAAGTGCAAAAAAGCAGAATGGCTTAAGCGTTTTGGCTTAGGGTACCCTGCCCAAGAAAAGCAAAAGGGGACTTCATCTGAATATCCATGTTGAACTTATCCAACTCCTTCGGGACAACAAGGATGTGTTCGCTTTTTCAGTAGCAGACATGCCTAGGATCGATCCGAACCTCATCTCCCACAAGCTGAACGTCAACCCCACCTGTTGACCTGTCAAGAAAAAGAAGGGGAATTACTCCGCTATTAAAAACCGAGACATCGCAACCGAAGTAAAAAAACTTCTGGATGTAGGCTTCATCGAAACCTACCAATATCCGGAATGGATGGCTAATGTGGTGATGATTCAGAAGGCAAATGGCACCTAGAGAATGTGCATTAACTTTACGGACCTAAATAGGGCTTGTCCAAAGGACTTCTATCCTTTGCCGAGGATCGATCAACTAGTCGACTCGACAAGTGGCTATGCCCTGCTTAGTTTCATGGACGCATTCTATGGGTATCATTAGATCTTCTTGCACCCCGATGACTGAGCAAAAACGACATTCGTTACGGACGCCAGGGTGTACAATTACAAAATGATGCCCTTCGGATTGAAAAATGCTGGGGCAACATATCAAAGGCTAGTTGATCAGGTCTTCGCCGAGCAGAAAAGCAGCAACATGGAAGACTATGTTGACGATTCAATCGTCAAGAGCAAAGAGGATAAAGACCATGTTGCGCACCTGGCCGAAACCTTCGCCACCTTAAGAAAGCACCAAATGAAGTTGAATCCGAAGAAGTGTCTTCGGTGTGAAATCAGGCAAGTTCATGGGCTTCATGATCAGCAAGAGAGGGATTAACGCCAATCTCGCCAAAGTTCAAGCAGCGCTCGATCTTCTTGAGCTAAAAACAAACAGGGACGTTCAGCGTCTCATCGGGAGAATGGCCGCCTTGTCCAGGTTCATCTCTAAAGCCTCGAACAAGGGGCTTCCCTTCTTCAAAGCGATGGAGCTTCAAAAAACAAAGGAGCTCATCTAGGAAGATGAGCAAAAAGAGGCCTTCAAGCAGCTCTGTGAGCACCTAGCTCAACTCCCGACGTTGGCACGTCTAACCAAAGGAGAAACGCTGTACTTGTACTTGGCAGTCAGCCCAGCCACTATAAGTGCAATCCTGCTGAA